CTGGGTGAGATTGCAGATGGAGGTGGTTCTCTCAGTTAAGAAACACCACCGCAGAGGGTTCAACAGTGACTGGCTCTGCGGCAGAATCCACATATCGCAAAGGTTTCTCTACATCTGCTCAGAACGTCTTGAACGCCGTGTTTTCTTATCCCAGACGACCACAGGGTGTTTCTCTCAAACAGCACGCCCTGCCCAAATTTCTATCTTGGCCCATTCCAGGATTAGGCTGTGGATCCTTTATCGTGTGGGAATAGACGTTTGTACATCTGATGGGCCGTTAAGTCGACTCGGATGAAATCGGTGCCTAATAACTGGAGTTAGACACTGTAATGTTGATTGTTATTCTCTAGGTGTTGAAGAAGGGATTAGTGGGCATGTTACTACAGACCCACAGGGAGAGAGGCGGCGTGTCTGCGTCGTGAGTAATGCGAAATGATTCGAGCTGCTAGGCTTGTGCCTGCGAAGTGTTAAATCTCGTGCCAGCGCAGAGCTCCTGTAAACAACCTATGGGCGTAGGAAAGATCCCCAAAAGAACAAGCAGTGCTGCCCCAGAGGAACAGGAGCACAAAGATGCATCTGTGAGGGCAGAGCAGGAGCCCTCCCGGGCAGCACCGGAGGTGTCGGTGCCTGGTCCTGCTGGAGCACGAGTGTTTTCTTCCCTCTTCGTGCAGGTGCGGTACCTCCAAGGAGGCATCTTAGATGCTTTGGATCCAACGGATGAACAAGGCTACGTGTGCATCTCGTGCCAAAAATGGAATAGTGGTGTCTTAGCATGCAAGAAAAAAATCCCCCAAACCAATTAGGCTGCTCTCTGAAGGAGCACTGACAATTCATTAATGTTTTTAGGGATGTTAGCTGTTAATATTTTCGTGAGCATTTTATAGTCATCGTTCAAACCAACACTTTTGTTTCCTGTTGTGGACTTAAGCACTCAAGAGCTATCAGGTTTTCCGTTCTGCTGCTGCTTTTCTCCCCGTGAAATGACAGGAAGACACTCCAACGATAACGAAACGAGTGAAAAGCTTCAGAGCTGGTACCGGAGAGAACGACAGGGGAGAAGTTTAGATCCCTGCAGATATTTTCTCTTGTCTTGTTTCTGTTCAGTGATTTTCTTCTCTGCTTGACTTGGGATAAAACCATCAGGAGGAAGGGTCTTGTCTTCCTGAAGAGTTTTTCTGATGGAAAAAAAATGTCATTAAAAGTTAGTGGAGGGATATTTGCTTCCTTGAGGGAAGGATGTTTTTAATGAAAAAAAAAAATAGGGTATTTGATATCGTCAGGCATCATGAACTATCAACTGGTCTACCTGTGCCTTTCTGCCTTGAGCAAAAACATGCTTAAAACAGTAGGTTTATATCTGGCATAGTTTGTAAGCATGTTGCTTGTTGCCTAAATAATACTGTCAAAATCCTGCCTCTTAAAAGGAAATTACTGAACAATTTATGAAAAAGCAAACGTCTCCAAAACTCCATTCTAAAGAGGTGAACGTGCTGCAGTGGGCAGTTCCCTTCACTGATCAGTGTTCTTAAATTTGGCTTGATGATGCTGGGAAAGGAGAAGGGAAGATGTTCACGTTCTTTGACTCGTTTGGGGGAGTGGGAAAGTGGTTTGAAGCTTGTTAGGTCAGCCTAGACTGCTCAGTTCATGAGCGTTAAGTCTTGAAAACTTGGAGAGGCTTCTAAGGGACGTTATCCAGCTGTGGAGATTTCTCCATCGCTTTCTTGGCTGTAGAAGACGTTATTAGGGGTGAACTGGTAGCTACTCTCCCAATTTCAAAGGAAATGCTCAAGTTTGTGGTGTGACTCAGCTTTACAAGAACACGGCTTGAAGCAATGTTAATCCCAGCTGGCTCTACGTGGGTTTTGTTTGTCTAATATCCTTGTAATGTGGCTCTTCCCGTTAAAGAAAGGCAGCATCCTTTGTTCTCCTTTAAGCTACTGCAAGTAAAGTGACTGCAGAAGTAGTTTGGGACCTGAAGCTGCAATGACTGAATGCTGCTGGAATGTGATGTGTCACATCTGGTGAAAAGGGGAATAGATCCCCTTCCCTTCTGAAATTCAGACTGGCTTTTTCTTTGGGGGATGGGTGGGTAGTGGTTGGAACTGAAACATCCCCTTGGAAGGTGGGAAAGAAGGAAAACAGCTTGGTTAGATTTGAAATTCGTATCGCTGCTGATTTCGGTTATTTCTTTTTTTTAAAAAAAAAAAAAAAGATAGTAAGAAACCCTGAGGTCTCTTAGATTTAGATGGCAACATTTCGCTTTCTGGGTCAGGAAAAAGATTTTTGGATACAGCTGGAAATCCTAGCAATGCGTGCATCTGAGCCAAGAAATAAGTGTATTTGAGCGCAGCGGGAGCAGTTGGCTGGTTAATATCCTGAACCGAATATGTGAAGACTGCTGTGTGGTGGTTTGGTGTTTTGTTTTTTTTAGCCCACGGTGTGCACAGCCATTTCCCTTTTGGGTACGATAGTCCTCGTCACTCCCGCCGCTGCTTCTCCTGTGGTTATCCCGCTGAGGAGTTACCTGTCTGCTCCTCTTTATGCTGTGGAGGCGATGAATCAGGTGGTGTTTTCTTCTTTCTTGAGGTGAAGAGGTCCCTTTCATCGATGCTTCAGGCCACATGTGGCGTCACTGGTTCTCTTTGCTACGAAGCCCTTTGAGAATCTCAGGTGTTCCAACAAATACAGGGTGATGCTATGAGTGAGCAATCTTCCTACTGTCTCGCTGCCTTGGAAGTCAAAACGGAGAATTAATCCTCCGCTCCGTTGTCATGCTCTACCTTCCCATCCCTCACCTTCCTCTCTTCTCTAGAAACAGTCTCCCGAGGTTTTAAGTGCGAGGAGAAAGTAAGATTGGCGGTTTTAGCTGGTAAATGAGGTTAATCAGCTCAGTGGTGGGTGGGAGAAATGTGTGGTGAGGTTAAGAATGTGATATTAATGGCTAGCAGGACCCTCGTTATCAGTCCAGTATAAATTTCCTTCTGTTAGGCATGAGCTTTTTGGTTCAAAATCACCCGTTTGTTTTACGGCTCCCATAATTAAGAGGAACCCAAGTTGTGGGGAGGGCGTGCACGTGCGTAAAAGCAGGCATCCTTCTTTTCTTTGCTTGAAGACACCGATCCCAAGTCTGACGGAAGGGAATTAGGGCTGTAAATCACTGTTCTGCAAAAGGCACTTCAACTGGCGCAAAGAAAAGAAATGGAACTACTGGCATTTCTGCAGGATGAGGAAGGTTAGGCTGAGCAGACGCCGAGATGCGTAATTTTGGCAGCTGCCCAGAATGGCTGAACTGCTGGGGAGGAATGCTAATCCTTTTTGCTACCTTTTGGCATAGTCAGTAAAAACAACGCAGATGCGTTTTCCAAAAATACATCCCTTTTTAGTTTTTTTTAAATTTTTTTTTCTTTTTTTGCGGATTGTGCTGTGGGGGTGCAAATAAGACAGCAGGACACCCTGACTGCAGCCAGCCTTCCTCCTTTCAACAGTTAAAACCTTGAGAAGCAGCGTATCAATTTTTGCAATGTCTGCTTGACTTCCATCCATAAATGACAGCCTGCTGGCAGAAAGACCGGGAGGAATGATTAAAGCTGCACACCGCTCCTGGAGCAGAAGGAGACCATCTTACAGATTGCGAATATCATTGACCACTTTAATTAATTTCACCTTCCTTGCTTTAATATTAAAATCCCCAAACCGAAGCTACTATTTTTGTAGAAATGTATATGTAATTAGTAGTCGGAAACCAAACACGAGCTAAAAACATTTGATGACAAATGCAAATTTCAGCCTAAATATTTTACTCCGCTTGGCAGTAATTCCTTGCCGGTAAAAAGATGCACAACGAGCCTCCCGCATAAATCAAACTCCAGCTGTACAATGGAGAATTTTACGTTAGGTATCCCTGCACCATAATAGCAGGGGAATAAACCGATGCGTTTTGGCACATTTGACCTTGCGTTTTCAAGAATGCTTTGCTGTAAGAGATTTCTGGGCCCGAGAATGCTTTGCCTTAATAGATTTCTGAGCCCATGATTTGCCATTTTCAGCTAAACTGTTAGAAAATGTTGAAGCGGCAACAGAAATTATCGTGACGGTGCTCGGAAATGATGTTCACGCAGTCGGTTTTTAATCACGGGGTACCCAAAGTTTCTTTTCCAGGAATATAATTCCTGGCGTTGTAATAGATTGGGCAAGTCTCCTGTGGCACTCCTGCCCATTCGAAAAGGGAGGGGATGCACATATTTTCCCTGCCCCCCCAAACTCAAGCCATACCCCCACGTATGAATGCGCATCTTCACGATTTCAAGAGGCTTGGCTTTCCAGTTAGTATTCTCAAACACTAACTGCTCTTTAAAGTGTTTCGCTGCTTAAAAAGAGGAGCCACTGGATATTTTTACACTTAATCCAATAATGAACTCGAATTACTGTTGCAACAACACATCATCAGTAGGTAAAACTAACCTGTCTCATGACAGATTAATGATGCTTGTAGCGTCGTGGTTT